GAATCTATACCAAAACCTTGCATCATAATTATACTTCTTTATATTATGGGATATTTATATAGCGCACATGTCCAGGCAACTTGTGCATGCTCAGGTCGCTGGTGTTTTTTCCCTCGATCATTAGGTGTCAGTCTTAACGGCACATCATATTATCAATCTCAACTCCCTAGGGAGTATACAACTCTTACAGCCACAAGGCCCACCAAGTTGTGGCTTTCACATCCTAACGAGTTAGGTACTAAAGTTGTCATCCAGAAAGCATCATACCTTCCTTACCATTCGTCATTCTAAAATTCCAGTCAAACAGATCATATTTCAATAGTTTAATATCAATGTTTGTTTGCTTTTTATATAACTTTACTTCTCGATTTCCATTGTCAATAGTTTCTCACGACAGCAACTGGGCAACCACCCTACCAGTGAAACTGTTTGTGCACTCTGATCGCACACATACTCCCCCGATAGCGCGTGCAATGCAATCGTCGAAATCACCAGAATGTTGAATTCAGCTCGTGTTGGGATATTTTCTGCTTTACGTGTATTTCTTCTAAATGCCATTTAATGACTTTGATACCACTGTAGACCACATTAACTGCATAGATCCAGGTTGACTCAGCTTCCGTCTCCATCCTTCCCATCCTTGACCGCAATCTGCGTGATGCATTGTGCAGCGCCCAATTATCCAGTGTGCGTCTTCACAGAAATGCAGCATGTTTCCTGTTTATTTAGTTAACAGGATTGAATTCTAACATTTAGGAGTGTTATTCACAAATCCTCCTGACAATATAAACATTACTCACAAGAGCCCCGCCTCTTGAAGGTTAACTATGTAGGCCATGATTGTCACCACTTACAGAGTTACTGTCTATGTAGGCATATCACTCGTAAATCAAAGGCAGCCATAACAGTTAGCTCATGTTTGCTTGGATCTTGAAATACTTCTCTGAATTGGAACTTGTTTACTTCATACCGTGCACATAGGGTGGTGGGGTAGCCTAGTGGTTAAAGCGTTCGCTTGTCACACCAAATACCCGGGTTCGATTCCCCACATGGGTACAATGTGTGAAGTCCATTTCTAGTGTCCCTTACCATGATATTGCTGGAATATTGCGAAAAGCAGTGTAAAACTCACTGAAACAGTGCATAAATTAACCTCACAGAATCGACCCCAGTTCAAGAGAGTGACTTGTTTGAAAAGGTTTATCACCCAAGACCTGTCAACTTTGATGCCATAGCATTTGCCCAGATTCCGGACAGGCCCACCCCTTCAACCCCTGTCACATTGGAGTTGTAACACAGACACTTTTACTGTTATGTTCTATTTCCAACACAGTTCTTTCTGTCACATAGTGTTGTATACAGTAATCAGGTCACGAGAAATTGTTTATAGGAGTAGCTCAAGGACACATGTGAGACGATATGCACCATGTTTTCTAGCATGCAACTGTAATCAATAGGATCTCAAGCCCGCTGGGAGTGAAAGAAGGAGAAAAAAATTGTTTTTCCCCAAATCTTGTAGACTAGAATGTTTATCACCAGTACATGGTGCTGATTTCATGTCGACTGGGTGGAGCTTTGCAGTAATACCCTAGACTAACAACTAGTCTCTGAAATGAACATATTTTACTGAAAAAAGTTCATAGTAAAAATATAATATAATGAAAAGAGCCCTGAGACTTTCTTCATTTTCTGAAGCTGAGGAAATCTAGACTTGCCACGTTTTCTAGACTAGCGTGGGCTTTCTTGGATATATTTGCTTCAGGGTCTGTACGACAGACTAGTAATACCCCAGCTAGGCCACATGCACTACAATTTTGATGTGCAGAATCGTGTCCCTTGGACTAGCCAGGATTCTGTTGTTGTATGTGGGTGGGGTAGCCTAGTGGTTAAAGCGTTTGCACGTCACGCTGAAGACCACGGTTCAATTCCCCGCATGGGTACAATGTGTGAAACCCATTTCTGGTGTCCCCTGTCGTGATATTGCTGGAGTATTGCTAGAAGCGGCATAAAACTAACCTCACTCACTACTCCTCAGGTTAAGGTCCTTGGTTTGGTAGCACAACAGCAACTAGGAGTGAATCATTGTATTTTAATTGTTTGATCAGCATTTTAGAAATTGATGACTCAAAAATTAAATATATAATTTTATGGATGACAACTTCTTATTTATTTACATGTAAGGATCTACATCAAATGTCGCTTTATGCAATAAATAAGAAGTTTTCATCGATAACATTGTATGTTTCATCATGGTATTTGATCTTGTGTTTGCCATAGCTTCTGTTATTTCTTATGGTTTATTTAAGGTTATTACTAGGGCTGTAACGAATACACTGTGTGGCGAATATGATACGTATCACGAATATTGGGTAACTAATACAAATAATTATTCATGAATACAATATTGAAGTTAAGTGATTGATGCACAATATTAAATGCCAAAGTTGACTGTGTTAATTTGTCACAGCAATAACCAGTGATCTCATGACACTCAAATTTGGTATCTAATCTTATAGCTGACAGTAACATGTGTGGCCTTGGAAAACTAACATGACTTGCGGTACTACAAGGCTAGTACATATTTCATTCTTGCATATCTCATTTTGAAAAAGGACATAAGGGTTCAAGTAAAAGGGACACCTTTAAAAAAATTGTAAATATTCATGAATATTCGGTTCTGGTGGCCACGAATAACGAATTGAATTCATGAAGGGCTACGGTTCGATTCACTGAATATGCGAGTGAATCGTAACAGCCTTAGTTATTACAGTAGTTACTTAAAATGAGATCTGAAACCACAAACCTTAGACACTTGTGCAGGTCTAACCACAAACAAGGTTTTATGTCACTGGTATTAATATTTAAAGAGCATGTGTCAGAGAAGGTCTCGTAGCTTTGAGAAATTGTACCCAATCATTTTGTAAATAAAATATGTTTAAAACAAAACTCTACTGAAGACAGGGATTACAAATTTCAACTTATTTGTGAATTACAGTATGGCTGCTACTCCACTCAAAAGGTCTCAATGAAGGAAGTTGAAATTCATTTGTCATACCACAGTTTACAAGTGCCACTCGAGTATGTAACTGTATCCAGAGCGGAATGGGGAATACAGCACTGTTAGCACTGAATTGTTTATTCAGTGCAATAGGTTTGGAGTGCTAATACATTTGGTAGTCAAATCTGTATTTGCTGCTGAATTTTGATGTTTCAGGACTTTATATGATCTCTCTGTCATGATCTTTATAGAAGATATAACGATAATGGCATCTTTGTTCAGTATCTGTGCATGCCCTGTCTGCCGTGACCATATTTATCTGATAACCATCACATACCCGTGAGACAAAGTTGACTTTGTACAGGGTTTTACGGGACGGAGGATTCCTGCGTATTGGACGTAGAAATATGATGAAGTACCCCTAAACTAAAATCCTGCATCCTTGTGGATGCAATAAAAAAAAATTATGGGAATAACTTTATGAGTTTGTATTGAATAAGTGATGTCCCACAATACATATAAACATTATGTTTACAATCATTATTTCAATGACATTGAAAGTAACACATATTATAACCTAATCTTTATCAAAAGGGAAGCATCCATGATCATTGATTTCATGCAAATTAATGGACTCCCAATTTTGGAAATGGACTCTCAGAATACATATGCGCTGATTCTCCAGGACTCCCAGTTTCGGAAGAGTTATGTAAAACCCTGTTTGTAGTATGCTGGATCGTGCATATTGATGTATGGCGTCACATCACTGATTGACAGTCAAACCATGACAGTGTTGTCCCCATGAAACCCTGTCATTTCGACAGTGACTTAACTCCCATATACAGTGATAAATGCAAAATGACAATTGCTTGCGTAACGTTTCAGCTTTGTCAGCGATAAGTTCATCTGTCTGCCAGCTGTACTAATTGACCTATTTTGCTGATATATATATTTGATAACAATATTATATGATAAAAGGGTTATGAAACTAAATCTAGTAATGCAGTATACAGGGATCTACATGATTGAGTCCTGTATTTGCAGGTCCCTGGGACTCATACCCTAAACATGGGGTCCCAGACACTTAAATATTGTTATTAATACTGTTATTGTATTGTGTATCATGATCATCACATTGTTACAGGAATTAAATTGCAATTAATACCACAACCCAAGTAGTAGCAAACTCAGTGATACCTTATTGTCTCTTGATCGGAATTGTTACAGAAAGTATTTGGACTTTTTCTGCGTCCCTGTGGACGCGCTAATAAATTGTGTTGCGTCCATTGTCAAATTTTATGAGTATAGGACACAGGAATCGCATGCTATAAATCCCTGAGTATATCCTTGTGTACACACACACACTCATGCAATAACCTCTGTTTATCCTTGAAAAATGTCTATATCATCATGATCATGTATATGATAAATGGTTATAAAAGGGATACAAAGTAACCATGGTAACTGATACATCTGCATATCCAATGTCTATTGTTGGTTGGGCCATTTGCCAGAAGCAAGCTATTTCATATGATTTTGTCCATAAAGCTAAGTAGCGTGAAGTGTGTGCGTGAGACGAAAGATCAGTCATCAGATACGAAGGGTAAGAAGTTAGCCTAGAGACGTTACAGGTGTTTGATAAAGATGTTGTTGCCTATAGCAGTGTTGCTTGTCACATAACTGCCATGTAAAAGTTAACAAAACGTAATTATTCCTACTTTGGATGGCATTTAGAAGGCAAGAGTTTATTGTTGTCAACTTTATTTTGAGGAACATGACATTTCATAGTATATTCTTACTCCTTCAACGAAAGGCTGAAGGCTTCAACAGGTGATTGAAAAAAAGAAAAACAATAGAGAAGTTGACATCGATAAATTTTTGCCTTTCTGATTATTCCTGTTAAATTTGTTTAACCTCGTTTTGCTGTTGTCAGATGGTGGCGCTGGAGACGTTCTGGCAGAAAGGCTCCTGTGTTATCACGTTTATGCGGAGGTTTGGATGACCTTTCTGTCGCCTCGGAGCGAGGCAACTTTCCACCTTGAAACCTCAGCTGGATGCCAACAACGTCAGGTTGATCGCAATCGGCTTGGAGGAGATAGGGGTGGAGGAGTTCGTGGAAGGGAAGTTTTTTAATGGGGGGTGAGATATTTTTAATCATTTATATTGCATAAAATCTACAATGTCAATTTCTGATGCAAATGATGAAACGTCAACATTGTTCAAGACTTGTAGACTGTAATGTGAAAATACAGTTCTATACCTGTCCTATCACAGGTTTACAGACAACAGCACTTCTCATGTTATGTGAGGGATCAAAATAGTCCTTAATTTGCCATGCCACAGTAAATATTGAAATGGCATGGTGGATATGTTTTCATTGTGCCCTGATGACACGACTAAAATTAAAAAATAATACTCACCATGATTCATTTAATGGAAAACAGGGCTCGATTTAAGAGAGGTTAACCTACTTGCACTAGGTGCAACCTAAGATAAAACCCTAGTTGCACCAGCAAAAATTCCAGTTGCAACGTTGTGTGTTAAAACGCAAGAGGTTTCGGTGCACATAAACTTATTTCCGTGATGTAGTACCTATGAAAGCATAGCAACACAGAGACACAGCTGATCCCTGTTTACAAGAGCTGTCATAGACGAAACGTGTATATGAATAGCAATATTTCAGTGCCATAGCTATTCAAAGTTTAGAAGAAAAATTAGCTGACATATTTATGCTTATAGTGTTAGATTTATTTATCTATTTCTCAAAAATTGACTTGCACCTTGTGCAAGATAAGACTCATAACTAGGTTGCACTTTGTAATATTGTGTTGCACCAGTGCAAGTAACAAAAAACTAAATCGAGCCCTGGAAAATGTGATAAATTTGACAAACTGAAATGATTCAATACCTATTTTTGCAGCCCATCAAACTGTTTATCGGTGGCATTCTCATATTCACAGCTTAATAAAGGGCGTGACCATTTTGAATGCCACTGTGCATAACAGGGAATCCCATGTCTTGGTAACGTAGTTTGTGGGTTAGTTTATCGGGGCAAATCACACGCAAATGAAGCTGAACTATAGCTGCTACTTGCAGTCATGATAGTGTTCAGGAAACCCGGCTCTCATGTTTGGATGTTTACATGATTTTTACTGATTTATTTAAAGAAATAATAAATTGAAATGACGTAATTGTTGAGATGGTTTAAGTCTATTTGGACAATCAAAAGGTATGGGCACGCTTATTTTCACAAGGGCAGGTGTAAATTATGTCTGTGCCCAATGGTACCCTTTAAAAAAGTTGCATTTCTTTCTCTGTAATGTATACTTGTTGATCATGACATCATGGGGGTTGTAGGCTGTAGGAATATAGCTTGAACATTCACTGTTCGGTTCACGTGACTGAGGGGTGGTGGGGTGGCCTAGTGGTTAATGTGTTTGCTAGTCACGCCAAAGACCCGGGTTCAGTGTGTGAAGCCCATTGCTGGTGTTCCCTACCGTGATATTGCTGGAATATTGCTAAAAGCGGCATAAAACCATACTCACTCACGTGACTGAAAGTGAAAACAGAAAAGCATGGCATTAAGTCACTTGAACTAACTCAGACCATTCCAATACCACGGAAACAGACTCAAGTATTTCGTAGTACTGGCTGTTGATATAGATAAGACAGATTGATAATCATGAACTAAATGTCAATCGGTTATCAATAAATATCAGAGAATTTACAAAAGGTCAGCAAGAAATGATATGTTTCATGTCACAGGGGAGTGAGGACACCCTTATGCGCGGATTGCAGCAGAACAGTTTTCTGAACATAATTTTAAAGTGGCAGTGAACAGATACTTACATTTGTGTATTGTGTGTGTAAATTAAAAGTTTATTCCATAACAACAGTTTATTAAAGATATTATTGATGACGCAATTTTCTTATTTATAATCATTAATAATTCTTCCCATCGACAATATTTCTGATTATTGATCTTTTAGGACAGCCTATATATTGCTTCACAGCCTTTGTGGGGGTTGGGGGGTCCAGTGTTGGTCTCTGGATTGTCTGGTTCAGACCGCCACCATATCTCTGGAACGTTGCTGAGTGCGGCATTTAACAACAACCAACCAACCATGTAAGGGTACAGTGATTATTCTGTTTGACAGCTTACATCATTCAACAACTTCCCCACCACTACAGTTTCAGTTTTTGTTGAATGGAAGCCATGATTTTTTCATGTTTTCTTTCAGAACTGTATATAGATCTAAAAAAGCAGTGCTACAAGGACCTGGGCTTCCGAAGGTAGGCACATTGTCAGAAGGTTGTCAGGGTTGTCTTATTGGGGTTTGGCTGTCATTGTCAAAGGGTAGGCACATTGTCAGAAGGCACATTGTCACATGGTTGTCTTATTGAGGTTTGGCTGCGAAGGTAGGCACATTGTCAGAAGGTTGTCACATGGTTGTCTTATTGAGGTTTGGCTGCGAAGGTAGGCATTGAGGTTTGGCAAGGTAGGCATGTCAGAAGGTTGTCAGGGTTGTCTTATTGAGGTTTGGCTGCCGAAGGTAGGCACATTGTCAGAAGGCTATCACATGGTTGTCTTATTGAGGTTTGGCTGCCGAAGGTAGGCATTGTCAGAAGGTTGTCACATGGTTGTCTTATTGAGGTTTGGCTGCCGAAGGTAGGCATTGTCAGAAGGTTGTCACATGGTTGTCTTATTGAGGTTTGGTTGCCGAAGGTAGGCATTGTCAGAAGGTTGTCAGATGGTTGTCTTATTGAGGTTTGGCTGCCGAAGGTAGGCACATTGTCAGAAGGCTATCACATGGTTGTCTTATTGAGGTTTGGTTGCCGAAGGTAGGCATTGTCAGAAGGTAGGCAGGGTTGTCTGAATAAGGTGTTGCTTTCTGAGGTAGGCATGTGAGGGTTGTCCGATGGGAGTGTTGATTAACAGTAATTTGAACTATAACCCATGTAGTGTATTGTAGCACACAGGATCGACCACGAACAAAACATCAATCATAAAAACCTTCATTTCTCATAATACAACATTTTCATACATGATTAGACAGGTAGAATATTTGAAAGTGTTTTGAGGCTTATACAGGGCTTTGAGGGCTGCGTGTTGGCAGAGGAGTTGTATCTTACAATACAGGCATCCATATTGTGAGGCATATTGTGGTCAGTAATATTGGGAGTTAAAGTGTTCCACTGTACATGTTTAGTTATTTTCCTACTGTGAGAAAGTGAATAAGGCCAGACCAGTTTCATTTCTTGTTTTACGGATCTGCTGGTCGTATTTTTTCAAGAATAAGAAAAAAAATATAAAAAAAATTTCCCCGCTCCAAAAATAAAATCCTCATGTTTTTATGGGCAAAGAATGTAAACTTACCCCCCAAAAATTTGATTTTTTTGTGCTCCATATACACTTCATAACTTGCCAAAAATAAAATACTTTTAGTATGCAAAAGCAATATTACTTTGACTGGTGATTTTTATTTTTTTATTTTTTTCCCTCCTGCCTTTAGGTTTTCTGAGGACAAAAATCTGTAAAACAAGAAATAAAATTGGTCTGGCCTAAGTATTTCTCTGTGGTGTAAAGGAGAGCAAAGTGATCTATGCATGTCACAAGTTTGATAACTTGATGCACTTCACATATTTTGATAATTTAGCATTACTAAATTCTTACACCACTGCATGGAGCTGACAAAATGTTCATTCACAGATGACAAGTGAGGCTGCAAATTTTCACTGCAAAGGAAATTGCAGTTGAGAAAACGACAGAGCAAAGTCTATTTAAGTAACAGATAAAAACATTATGGTTGGAAGCACGTATGGGGTAGCTCAGGTATTCAGAACCACAAGGTTTAAAGTAAATATTAAGATATCAAAGTCAGAATGGTCACTGGGGAGATAATGTGAGAGAATGATCACTTCTGCTGTTTTAGGGAAGTCTTCTTGGCTTAAAATTTGCATTACCAAATATAACGATACATGGAAAAAGATTGCAATAAGTGTTGTTTTCTAGGTGTTTTATGGTATACTAATAATACAATTCAGTGGTATTCTTAAGTATGAAATTCTTCATTTTTACGATGAAGTGGGGACTGCACCTGTTATCAGGCTAACACCTGGTGATACTCTTGATTTAAGAACATTTAACACTATTCACATACGAAAACAGTTGTGTCTTTCTGTGATTTCAGACTCGGCGTTTTCAGTCTATTTCCTGCCATCTTTGCCAAAAAAGCCAGAGATGCCATGTCACAGGTGAGGCCATTGATTAGACACTGACCCTCAGGGTTATTCACCAGTTGTAGATTCCAATAACTGGTCTGCTTGATACTCATGTCAGTACTATACTGTTTTATGCACCAGTTTGACGTATTAACCTGGCTGTGATTCCAGTATCTGATCTGTTGTACAAAACAACCTGTGTGGCTACCTTAGTCTTTGTTAAAGTATGGGAGTTACGGTCACCTTAGCTGTGATGTACAATACCCTGGTCTGCTTGATAATGCATTTAGTATATTCTGTTATACACCAGCTGTGTGATATTGGTTTGACATTAATTATTATATTAACCTGGCTGTGATTCCAGTATCTGGTCTGCTTGATACTTATGTAGTATATTCTGTTATACACCAGCTGTGATATTGGTTTGACATTAATTATTATATTAACCTGGCTGTGATTCCAGTATCTGGTCTGCGTGATACGCATGTAGTATATTCTGTTATACACCAGCTGTGTGATATTGGTTTGACATTATTATTATTATATTAACCTGGCTGTGATTCCAGTATCTGGTCTGCTTGATACGCATGTATTGGATGTGGATATTCTGTTATACACCAGCTGTGTGATATTGGTTTGACATTATTATTATTATATTAACCTGGCTGTGATTCCAGTATCTGGGTCTTGCTTGATGCATGTAGTATATTCTGTTATACACCAGCTGTGTGTGATGTTGGTTTGACATTATTATTATTATATTAACCTGGCTGTGATTCCAGTATCTGGTACATTATTATTATTATATTAACCTGGAAACTGTGATTCCAGTATCTGGTCTGCTTGATACGCATGTAGTATATTCTGTTATACACCAGCTGTGTGATATTGGTTTGACATTATTATTATTATATTAACCTGAATGTGATTCCAGTATCTGGTCTGCTTGATCGCATAGTAGTATATTCTGTTATACACCAGCTGTGTGATGTTGGTTTGACATTATTATTATTATTATATTAACCTGGCTTAATGATTCGGTATCTGGTCATGATCATGTATATATATTCTGTTATACACCAGCTGTGTGATATTGGTTTGACATTATTATTATTATATTAACCTGAAACTGTGATTCCAGTATCTGGTCTGCTTGATACGCATGTAGTATATTCTGTTATACACCAGCTGTGTGATATTGGTTTGACATTATTATTATTATATTAACCTGGCTGTGATTCCAGTATCTGGTCTGCTTGATACGTGCGATGTAGTATATTCTGTTATACACCAGCTGTGTGATATTGGTTTTGATATTATTATTATTATATTAACCTGACTGTGGATTCAGGTATCTGGTCTGTTTGATACATGTGGTATATTCTGTTATACACCAGCTGTGTGATATTGGTTTGACATTATTATTATTATATTAACCTGGCTGTGATTCCAGTATCTGGTCTGTGATGTTGATGTAGTATATTCTGTTATACACCAGCTGTGTGATATTGGTTTGACATTATTATTATTATTATAACCTGGCTGTATTCCAGTATTCAGGTATCTGGTCTTAGCGATGCATGTGGTATATTCTGTTATGCACCAGCTGTGTGATATTGGTTTGACATTATTATTATTATATTAACCTGGCTGTGATTCCAGTATCTGGTCTGCTTGATACGCATGTAGTATATTCTGTTATACACCAGCTGTGTGATATTGGTTTGACATTATTATTATTATATTAACCTGGCTGTGATTCCAGTATCTGGTCTGCTTGATACGCATGTAGTATATTCTGTTATACACCAGCTGTGTGATATTGGTTTGACATTATTATTATTATATTAACCTGGCTGTGATTCCAGTATCTGGTCTGCGTGATACACATGCATGTAGTATATTCTGTTATACACCAGCTGTGTGATATTGGTTTTGACATTATTATTATTATATTAACCTGGCTGTGATTCCAGTATCTGGTCTGCTTGATACTTCATGTAGTATATTCTGTTATACACCAGCTGTGTGATATTGGTTTGACATTATTATTATTATATTAACCTGAAACTGTGATTCCGGTATCTGGTCTAGCGATATACGCATGTAGTATATTCTGTTATACACCAGCTGTGTGATATTGGTTTGACATTATTATTATTATATTAACCTGGCTGTGATTCCAGTATCTGGTCTGCTTGATACGCATGTAGTATATTCTGTTATACACCAGCTGTGTGATATTGGTTTGACATTATTATTATTATATTAACCTGGCTGTGATTCCAGTATCTGGTCTGCTTGATGCATGTAGTATATTCTGTTATACACCAGCTGTGTGATATTGGTTTGACATTATTATTATTATATTAACCTGGCTGTGATTCCAGTATCTGGTCTGCTTGATACGATGTAGTATATTCTGTTATACACCAGCTGTGTGATATTGGTTTGACATTATTATTATTATATTAACCTGGCTGTGATTCCAGTATCTGGTCTGCTTGATAATGCATGTAGTATATTCTGTTATACACCAGCTGTGTGATATTGGTTTGACATTATTATTATTATATTAACCTGGCTGTGATTCCAGTATCTGGTCTGGCTTGATACGCATGTAGTATATTCTGTTATACACCAGCTGTGTGATATTGGTTTGACATTATTATTATTATATTAACCTGGCTGTGATTCCAGTATCTGGTCTGCTTGATATGCATGTAGTATATTCTGTTATACACCAGCTGTGTGATATTGGTTTGACATTATTATTATTATATTAACCTGGCTGTGATTCCAGTATCTGGTCTGCTTGATACATGTAGTATATTCTGTTATACACCAGCTGTGTGATATTGGTTTGACATTATTATTATTATATTAACCTGGCTGTGATTCCAGTATCTGGTCTGCTTTGATACGCGATGTAGTATATTCTGTTATACACCAGCTGTGTGATATTGGTTTGACATTATTATTATTATATTAACCTGGCTGTGATTCCAGTATCTGGTCTGCTTGATAATGCATGTAGTATATTCTGTTATACACCAGCTGTGTGATATTGGTTTGACATTATTATTATTATATTAACCTGGCTGTGATTCCAGTATCTGGTCTGCTTTGATACGCATGTAGTATATTCTGTTATACACCAGCTGTGTGATATTGGTTTGACATTATTATTATTATATTAACCTGGCTGTGATTCCAGTATCTGGTCTGCTTGATACATGTAGTATATTCTGTTATACACCAGCTGTGTGATATTGGTTTGACATTATTATTATTATATTAACCTGGCTGTGATTCCAGTATCTGGTCTGCTTGATACGCATGTAGTATATTCTGTTATACACCAGCTGTGTGATATTGGTTTGACATTATTATTATTATATTAACCTGGCTGTGATTCCAGTATCTGGTCTGGTAGTATTCTGCTTAGCGATACGCATGGTAGTATATTCTGTTATACACCTGGTCAGCTGTGTGATATTGGTTTGACATTATTATTATTATATTAACCTGACTTGTGATTCCAGTATCTGGTCTTATGATACGCATGTAGTATATTCTGTTATACACCAGCTGTGTGATATTGGTTTGACATTATTATTATATTAACCTGGCTGTGATTCCAGTATCTGGTCTGCTTGATACATGTAGTATATTCTGTTATACACCAGCTGTGTGATATTGGTTTGACATTTATTATTATTATATTAACCTGGCTGTGATTCCAGTATCTGGTCTGCTTGATAATGCATGTAGTATATTCTGTTATACACCAGCTGTGTGATATTGGTTTGACATTATTATTATTATATTAACCTGGCTGTGATTCCAGTATCTGGTCTGCTTGATAATGCGATGTAGTATATTCTGTTATACACCAGCTGTGTGATATTGGTTTGACATTATTATTATTATATTAACCTGGCTGTGATTCCAGTATCTGGTCTGCTTGATAATGCATGTAGTATATTCTGTTATACACCAGCTGTGTGATATTGGTTTGACATTATTATTATTATATTAACCTGGCTGTGATGCCAATATCTGGTCTGCTTGATACGCATGTAGTATATTCTGTTATACACCAGCTGTGTGATATTGGTTTGACATTATTATTATTATATTAACCTGGCTGTGATTCCAGTATCTGGTCTGCTTGATACGCATGTAGTATATTCTGTTATACACCAGCTGTGTGATATTGGTTTGACATTATTATTATTATATTAACCTGGCTGTGATTCCAGTATCTGGTCTGCTTGATACGCATGTAGTATATTCTGTTATACACCAGCTGTGTGATATTGGTTTGACATTATTATTATTATATTAACCTGGCTGTGATTCCAGTATCTGGTCTGCTTGATACGCATGTAGTATATTCTGTTATACACCAGCTGTGTGATATTGGTTTGACATTATTATTATTATATTAACCTGGCTGTGATTCCAGTATCTGGTCTGCGTGATACACATGCCTGAAGTATATTCTGTTATACACCAGCTGTGGTTGTATTGGGAATATTACCCCGAAGAAAGCATGTGTTGAAATGCTTGTGCTGTTAAATACAAGCAGTGAGGCAGCAAATATCCTGTTCATAATTGTCATGATGATTTCATCGGAGATGAAATCTTAAGCTCACCTGATCTATCATTCACTGTTCCTATCCTGCTAACTCTTGCACATATACAATGCTTGACTTATTCCATGTATGACGAGGAAGGTTTTTTAAATCTGAAACCAATCATAGCATTGTCTGGATGATTTGATAAATGTCGCACCCAAACTTGCTGAAACATCGTATCAATAATTTTGCCACCAGTGGAGATACTGTATCTATTTCTTTTGTGAAATATAGAGAATACGAACCGAACTTCTGTACAGTACGACTTTTATTAAATGAGTTGTTGATTTGGTATTAAATAAGCGAAATCAGGTTTGATACCAAATCTTCCACAAGTTTAATAAAAATGGTATTTCACAGAAGCAAGTTTAGTGTTCTGTTTATTTCTCTCCAACATAAATTGATAGAAACTGCCAACAGTGTGATGACTCTCAGCTTTCCGCTAATCAAGCAAGGTCTAATACTATTGTGACAGGTATTAGCATTGTGACGTCATAACTGTAAACCATTATGACGTCATACATCTAACAGTATTACACTAGTGTAATATTGCCGTAAACTTATAACACTGCAGTATCTTCCACGGATGAGCAATACAACAGTAATACTTATAACAGAAGTAGTGTCCAACTTATGTAAGACCCAATTCCTTCCAGGCAAAGACTGAGAAGATTGAAGGAAACTTCAAGGGTGATGGGATGCAGAACGGGGGCACAGTAGTGGTTGCTAAAGGTATTGTGTGTGTAGCCTTGTATTGTGTGTGTAGCCTTGTATTGTGTGTGTAGCCTTGTATTGTTTGTGTAGCCTTGTATGTGTGTGTGTAGCCTTGTATTGTTTTGTGTAGCCTTGTATTGTTTGTGTAGTGGCCTTGTATTGTTTGTGTAGCCTTGTATTGTGTGTGTAGCCTTGTATTGTGTGTGTAGCCTTGTATTGTTTGTGTAGCCTTGTATTGTGTGTGTAGCCTTGTATTGTTTGTGTAGCCTTGTATTGTGTGTGTAGCCTTGTATTGTTTGTGTAGCCTTGTATTGTTTGTGTAGCCTTGTATTGTTTGTGTAGCCTTGTATTGTGTGTGTAGCCTTGTATTGTTTGTGTAGCCTTGTATTGTGTGTGTAGCCTTGTATTGTGTGTGTAGCCTTGTATTGTTTGTGTAGCCTTGTATTGTTTGTGTAGCCTTGTATTGTGTGTGTAGCCTTGTATTGTTTGTGTAGCCCTGTATTGTTTGTGTACCCCTGTATTGTTTGTGTAGCCTTGTATTGTTTGTGTAGCCTTGTATTGTTTGTGTAGCCCTGTATTGTTTGTATAGCGTAGCCTTGTATTGTTTGTGTTGCCTTGTATTGTTTGTGTAGCCCTGTATTGTTTGTATAGCCTTGTTCGTGTTTTCATTTTCAAAATGTTATATTTACTGTCCTCAGTAAGATCAGACTCTATTCATTTAAATATGGCTGATATGCGGAAGCGAAACTTTGGTTGATCGAGATACACCAACTAGGGAAGATAAACATAACGTTAAAATGATATCAACAAAAATGAAAATATAAGAACTGAATGAAAATTGATGTGAATGACCATGAAAGTTCACACTAACAGGTGCTTGAAATATCAGAAGTTCTGGTTTTAGAATTGTTTGTGGAATTAGAAACAATGAACATATTGAAGGATATTTTAAGAACCATGCGTGATTCACTTCAGGAGGCAAGGTACTGCTCAACTTCAAGCAGGAAAACCCAGCTGATCATGTGGACCCAAACGAAGTGTTGAAAGCGTTGGGCATCGAGGGCACCGTTGATGTGGAAAAGATGGTATCTACAGATGGGGAGGGAACTCAGGTGACGGCTGATGGTGGCGAGGCAAGTGGGGGAACGGAGGTGACGTGCAAGGACGATGTTTGTGAGATGCCTAAGAAGGACAAGCCCAAGCCAGAGGTTCAGTGTGAGGGTGATGTCTGCCAGATGAAATAACAGGTACAGTACCATATTGTTTTATTCCAATGGTCCAGCATTGTTGAGTGTACAACAGTTCTGTATTGTCCAGTGTACAACTGTTCTGTATTTAACATATGTTATTTTTGGGATTACACTTTCTTTGTTAAGTACAGATTCTAGTACTTTGTTGGGTTGAGTCCCATCCGGGATTCGAACCCACACCCTCAGAGTCTGGCACCTAATGGCCAGCACACAAAGTCAGACGCCTGGACCGCTCAGCCACTGCGGCTTCTACTCAATCCAACAAAATACTAGGATCTGTACTTTACAAAGAAAGTGTAATCCCAAATATATCATATGTTACATTTGACCACTTTCTAAATGGCATTGTGTATTTCATAGTTCTGTATTGTCGAGTGTACAACAGTTCTGTTTTGCCGATGTACAACAGTTCTGTATTGTCGAGTGTACAACAGTTCTGTTTTGCCGATGTACAACAGTTCAGTATTGATGAGTGTACAACAGTTCTGTATTATCATGTGTACAACAGATCTGTATTGTTGAGTGTACAACAGTTCAGTATTGTCATGTGTACAACAGTTCTGTATTGTCCAGTGTACAACAGTTCTGTATTGTCCATGTACAACAGTTCTGTATTGTCGTTGTACAACAGTTCTGTATTGTCGTTATACAACAGTTCCGTATTGGTGAGTGTGCAACAGTTCTGCATTGTCGTGAGCCGTACAACAGTTCTGCATTGTCAATGTACAACAGTTGTGTATTGTCATGTATACAACAGTTCTGTATTGTCCAGTGTACAACAGTTCTGTATTGTCCAGTGTACAATAGTTCTGTATTGTCATGTGTACAACAGTTCTGTATTGTCGTTGTACAACAGTTCTGTATTGTCATGTGTACAACAGTTCTGTATTGGTGAGTGTACAACAGTTCTGTATTGTCAAGTGTACAACAGTTCTGTATTGTCGTTGTACAACAGTTCTGTATTGTCGTTGTACAACAGTTCCGTATTGGTGAGTGTGCAACAGTTCTGCATTGTCGAGTGTACAACAGTTCTGCATTGTCGATGTACAACAGTTCCGTATTGGTGAGTGTGCAACAGTTCTGCATTGTCGAGTGTACAACAGTTCTGCATTGTCCAGTGTACAACAGTTCTGTATTGTCCAGTGTACAACAGTTCTGTAAGTTTGCAATGGTCTCACTGAATGTACAATGGACCCGTGAAGATCCGGGTCAGAGGCGACTAACGGGATCGGGTGGTCAGGCCTGGTGACTTGATAGACACACGTCATCGTCATCGTATCACATGTGCATATTGTTGATGACAGACGCCATATAGCTGAAATATTCCTGAGTGAAGCAACAAGCAAAGGAATGTACAATATTCCCATATTGCGCTGTACAATGGGCAGTCTTAATCATTGCTCATACAAAGTGTCTGCTTACTTTTTCACTTGAAATTTTAAAAATAAGATCTGCCATATCTGCCCCATTTGTCTTGTTTGTGGTTAGTTAAAAACTGTTTTTTATCAGAAATTATTTCGAATTTTATAAGTATTTCTTAAGTGATGCCTCTATTTTCAGCTGTCCCTGTTTATGGCTGCCAGTGCCAGTGTTTCCACATAACTACACCAGTGATCCGAGACCTGCCACAGACGAGGCACCATGATGTGTACTTGATGAATCTCCGGACCTGAGTATACTGACCAGGGTCATGTGACCTGCCCACCTGGTGGCATTTCTGGGAACTACTGTGTATGTTTTGTGACACCCTGCTGGCGGCTTATTATTATCCTAATACCTCAGTCTTTTATATTTTTATGGTTTTCATTCTCTCATGCTGAAGCCTCTCATTGTGTCATGTACATTGTGACTATTGTAATAAAGGCATTTTGTATATATATAAATGTTTCCATCTCATTTTCTGATTGTTCATGCTGTCAGGCACTTGCTGGCATGGCTGTTCATAGCATCAACCACAAGGTTGCAATGGTTGTTTATAGTAACGGGGCGGTGGGGTAGCCTAATGGTTAAAGCGTTGGCTCGTCACGCCGAAGACCCGGGTTCGAATCCCCACATGGGTACAATGTGTGCAGCCCATTTCTGGTGTCCCCCCGCCGTGATGTTGCTGGAATATTGCTAAAAGCGGCGTAAAACCAAACTCAGTCAGTCAGTCAGTGTTTATAGTAACAGTCATTTGTTAGTGAGGTCGACCACCTTCTCACATGCTTGTTCATAGCAATCACTGGTACACTCATCTGTTCCATGGTATCAATCACTTGCTTGTGTGGCTGTTGAGGGTGGCAACCACTTGCTTGCATGGCTTGGTCATGGTATCACCCACTTATTTACTGGTTGCTCTCTTGGGAACACGACGACACACTACGTTCAGTTTATAAAGACCAATAAACTGATGAAGACAGGTTTATATGTCCAAGGGAACGAGCTGGGGTCATTGCTGCTGAAGTAATTTGATTCAATAAGAATCATGTTTCTTATAAGGAGATGTCTGTGGAAGGTGTGATTGTAGGACTCTTCTGTGTGTTTCTGACTATAAGTTAACACATCTTTGTGGTGAGGTGAAATTGGGTTTAAGTGGTGCTTGAAAATATTTCGCTCATATGACCACGTGCATGAGTGTGTATGTGTATGTGCGGCTGCTTGTACCAGCCCAGACTAAAGCTGGTTTTATAGTGCTAGCCCTCTGAGATACCATGCCGCAGTGAAGCACGAATACCCCACTCAGACACATTATACTGACTCCGAACCGACCAGTCCTTGTACCAATTAATGCCGAGCGCCAGGCAGGGACCAACAAGTACCATATTTTAAGGTCTTTTGGTATGACGTGGTCGGGGATCGACGGGCGGACTCACTAACCACTACACCACGGAGGCGGTCAAAACACGTTTGAACAAATAATCTTGGAAGTGAATATATGAAGTGGAAATTATTGATTTGTTTGCGTTGTCCAGTTTCATGAACGGGAGAACGCAGTGTTATGTTACTGATGGGAGTATGGAGATAGTGACGTCACTGCCAGAACGAAGCTGAGACGCTAAGTGGAATAAGGTTATTTCAAGAAAGATCATCGAGGATGGCACATGAATTTTTTTTTATATTCTCCTCGTACCTTGGTCAAGACCCAATCGTACTTACTGACATAATTCCTGCAGGCATACACATAGCCATAGACAATATTAAATACGACGGACTGGTCAAGACTGAAGGAGGTGATTCTCTAATGAAATTTCTCGTTTAAACTAAGGTAAGGGGAACGTATTTCCCCAGTTAGTTGTTTCAGTTGTCACTCACATCACTGCTCACACTTATTACTTTAACAGGGTTTTTGTTTCAGTGACTTTATGATGGCTTTGACATAAACATTTATATCGAGTTACCTTTTACTTGAATACACAATGCCATGTATCATCACATATACAGCTGGTCTCTTTGTTGCTTGAGATGTAATAAGAGAGGAGAGGCAAGAGTTGCCCCCTTATATGCCTCTCCGTATGCAGCTAATTCTGGAACAAGGTCCTTGTAGCCTTTTCCAAATCATTCTGTCCGAATCCAGAACAGTTCTAAATATCGCACACCACTGCCTCTTACTGAGTCAACAGTCCCGTGAAGATCCGGGTTAGAATTGGTCTTCTGTAACCCATGCTTGTAAGAGGCGACTAACGGGATCGGGTGGTCAGACTCGCTGACTTGTTTGACACATGTCATCGGTTCCCAATTGCGTAGATCGATGTGCTTGTGTTTTGATCACTGGATTGTCTGGTCCAGACCCGATTATTTACAGACCGCCGCCATATAGCTGGGAATTGCTGAGTGCGGCGTAAAACTAAACTCACTACTGAGTCCACAGGTACAATGTATAACGGATGAAACACTTGTGCCCAAGGTACATTGTTGTCAGTCAATAGTTCCTTCCGTAATTACCACTGTCCTCCCATGAAGATCCGTGTTACAAATGATCTTCAAGCCATGCATGTCAGAGGCGACCAACGGGATCGGGAAGTGCTTCTCGCTGACTTAGTTGACACGTCATCGTACCAGATGTGTGTAAATCGATGCTTATGGTGTCAATCACTAGATTGTCTGGTCCAGACTCGGTTGTGCAGAGACCTCGGTCATATAGCTGGAAGATGCTGAGTACGGCGTTGAAACAATCAAAGAAAAGAACACTGTTCAAGGAAGACTTAACTCTCACATAATTCGATGTACTGAGATGCGTCCCTTGGGCATGCCAGCAGTATTTCCGTGGATATATGTGAAGTGGTCAACATCTGAGAATGGCGTCATCTGACCTCCCTAACTGTGTGAACTCAAGGGCGACGGTTTGACACATGTCCGTAGGATCATGATCCCCAAGCAACCAATGCTTTTCGGACGAGGCGAATATATGGACCAGGAGTGTTTGTAAACCTATATTACCCGACAGTCCGATCAGGTTCAAAAGAGATGCTTCAGCCTCGTGTTCCTATGTGTAATAAGCAAACAAACTAATCGTGACAATATGAGGTCTGTAACCAGGACCCAATGTCTCAGTAGCCACAGACACGTGGCACGCATCCCATCGTTGCCACACACGTGTAATGGTGGATGAAAACAAAGCACTCTTTGATACAGCATAACGTGGCAACAAATGGTTATTTTTCATATGACGTGATGATGTATTTCTTTCCGCCTAGAATTTGAAGAATCACAACTCCATATTTTCCGTCTGTGTGTGTGTGGTGTTGAGCATGTTGTCCCGCAGCTCAAGGTGTGTTAGCGTTAAGTCTCCATCCCGCAGTTACTGTGTAGGGGAGACGTGTAGGGAAGATTGATTGGATTCAGTAAGTGCAGTGGTTTCACACTCATCTCATTGTCTGGTTAACGCTCGTTTATAGAGCTCCCATTTTGTTTAAGTAATGCCGAGTGTTAACAACAAACAGACTGTTTGGCGAAACTAGGTCCCAGTATTCACCTTGGTCACAAAAACCGTCAACAATTTTTTTCGGGTACTGTTCGTTCCACGTTCGTCCAGGTTCGTTCCATGCGCTACCAACTATTTGTTTCCCTCATGAAGCTATGATACCCGTGAAGATCCGGGTTAGAATTGATCTTCAGCAACCCATGCTTGTCGTAAGAGGCGACTAACGGGATCGGGTGCACGTGGTCAGGTTGGCTGACTTGAATGACACATGTCATCGTATCCCAGTTGCGGATATCGATGCTCATGCTGTTGATCACTGGATTGTCAGGTCCAGACTTGATTATTTACAGACCGCCGTCATATAGCTAGAATATTGCAAAGTGCGGCGTACAACTAAACGCACTCAACCATGAAGATATGAAGCCGCTGTGTCGCGGCGTAAAACAGCATTCACAGTATGTGAAATGATATTCAGGTTTTCCGATAATCATCGGCTTTTGCAATACAAACACAAGACATAACCAAGTACTGGCAACTCTACTTAATTCTACTTAACAGCAAATACAGGACCCTGTTGAGGGCTACGGGTTTCATTTAGTGACAAACTAGAGTGGGGAAATTCTATGCGTTTTCGGATCCTGCATCAAACAAGAACCATACAAATGGTTTTGTTAAGTGACTTGTCGTACAATGCATAGATCTGTAGAACAACACTGGTATAGCGACCACAGCAGGGCAAAGGATTACCGCCGGAAAGGACGTGTGTGAATGGCAGCGATCGTGTGTTCATACATGTACCAATATCTTAATAAGCAAAAAAACGTAAACAAAGGACACAGGCACACTGGGAATACAAAGGACACAGGCACACTGGGAATACAAAGGACACAGGCACTGGGAAAACAAAGGACACAGGCACACTGGGAATACAAAGGACACAGGCACACTGGGAATACAAAGGACACAGGCACACTGGGAAGGCACACTGGGAATACAAAGGACACAGGCACACTGGGAATACAAAGGACACAGGCACACTGGGAAAACAAAGGACACAGGCACACTGGGAAAACAAAGGACACAGGCACACTGGGAAAACAAAGGACACAGGCACACTGGGAAAACAAAGGACACAGGCACACTGGGAATACAAAGGACACAGGCACACTGGGAAAACAAAGGACACAGGCACACTGGGAATACAAAGGACACAGGCACACTGGGAATACAAAGGACACAGGCACACTGGGAATACAAAGGACACAGGCACACTGGGAATACAAAGGACACAGGCACACAGGCACACTGGGAAAACAAAGGACACAGGCACACTGGGAAAACAAAGGACACAGGCACACTGGGAAAACAAAGGACACAGGCACACTGGGAATACAAAGGACACAGGCACACTGGGAAAACAAAGGACACAGGCACACTGGGAAAACAAAGGATACAGGCACACTGGGAAAACAAAGGACACAGGCACACGAGACAGTCACGTTGGGAACACAAGACAGGTACATGGGGCGATGTTTTGAAACATAAGCAATTGGGCAACACATCGCGAGCCCTACCTGCCTCTGTAAGGAGGCGAAGATCCCACCTCACTGACACAGATGAAGGAGGAGTGTCGGGTATTAATGCTAGTCCAGACAACAGGCACTCTTCAACAACCGAGTTATGTCCTGCATCACGTCACTGTGTACTGATGGTGGGAGTCAGACTCTATAACCCGGGGGACGTGGTTCAGTGGGACAATGTATTAAGCCCTGAAGACGTCTGACGGACCCAGGGGAGCTATGTGGGGTTTGAGGGACGAAGGATACTGTCTGCTGTTGATGTGTATGCTAGGAACTACTAGTAAGTCTTGCATCAACTAACCAATGTTTTCACGTTTGCGTTACCTACCAGGTACACATGTATGTACCATACCTGAACACACCTTTGTCATTATTTCCAGGTTCATCATTATCAGCTAAAACTCGATGTTTAGTAT